TGACAACAAAGAATGTCCTTCTATAGCTCCTAACATATCACTCGCCTTCTTTCTGTTCCATAGTATGCCTTCAGAGATGAGCAAAATAATCTTGTATAGTAGGGCTGTGTGCTCCTCTTGGCTGCTGCACTGGGTCCTCCCTTCCTTTCTCAAGTGGTTTGGGAAAAAAGAATTAACATTTGCTTTCAATTTTGCTGTTGTCACATTGCTGTAGAATTCACTCCTCTCACACTTTGTGTCTTCTAAGGATCAACCAATTGAATCAAGAACATGAGCTAAAATAGTTTTTAATGAGTTTTTGAAATTGAAGTCTAGTATATTATTTTCCATAAATTATTTTCCTTCTATTTAACCATCATGGCACTTACCTTCCTGGGTGGTCATGTTATCCCTCTGAAATTTGCTGCAGCAGAAGTGGATGAAGCCTGAGTGATATTTCTCACCCAGCCCTTCTTTAAATGTGGTTTCCCCCAAACATTAACGTTTTCACTATGCTTTCATTTTCCATTAAAAATAATTTAAACTCTTTAATAATTAGATCTTATCTTCTTTGGTAGAACTTACAACAAATGTGCATTTCATCTACATGGTTTCAAGCATGATCAGGACTGTATTCATTCAGGTTTGCAGAGATCATGTAAATGTGGACAGACTTGCTTGTTTTAAACTGTGTCCAGCTAGAGAATGAAAGCATGACACTAATTAGTATTGCACATCAAAAGGGAAAAGGTTGTCTCTCTGTGGCCCAGTCCAAAGCAGTCGCAGTGCAGCTGACTGGGGCTGTGTTTTGGTGGAGCTGGGCTTGTGGCGGGCTGCTGCCAAAGGAGGGGAGTTTGCTCCCTCTCTTTGCTCACCCAACCCTTCCCGAGGCCAGCTCTGCTCAGGAGGCCCTGATAAAGCTGGGGGGGAAAGGTGTTACTTTTCTGGCAAGTTTTAAGTTGCGATGTTTCACAAAGCGGCCTAAGAAAAAACACTAAAACAAACTAAGATGGCGGGGGGGTGGGGGGAATGTCCGACTGCAAGAATTTGGGGAAGCAGGAACAAGGGGCCTTTGACTTTCTTGCAGGCTGGTGCATTGGGTTGCTTGGTCACTTTAAAACTCTGTCTCGGTGAAATCCCACACCAGAATTAGAGACTTTTTGTAATATTAATACAGTAACAAAGAATAAGAGAAGAAAATACCCTGTTTCCTCCATTATCCTCAGACTACACAAATCTTGAGTTCTGTATACCACAATTTGCAGAGCAAGCTAAAACTGTACATGAACAGGAGGCAAATAACTAGTCCTGGCTCTGTGGATGATAAACAGTTGGTTGTTATTATTACCCAAATA